GGGAATCCCCAGGGTGGTGAGATTTCTCCGGAATACCCTTTCGGTATTCCACGCCCTCCGGACGGCATAGAAATTGTTACATATGCAGATGATTGTACGATCATGGCGTCGGATCCCATTGTTGAGGACAAATGTGTAAGGTTGAATGCCTATCTCGTCGAATTAGCAGCCTTCTTTAAAGCGAGGAATATGAAAATATCCGCCACGAAGTCGTCAGCCACATTATTCACCACATGGACTGCGGAGATGAGAATGTCGTTGAATGTTCAGGTCGAGGGGCATACAATCCGACCACAAATTACCCCAAAATACTCGGGGTGACATTCGACAGTATGTTTAAATCGTCTGCGTAAAGCACAGCTATCTGCGATAAGTTGAAAAGTAGGAACAAGGTCCTCAAGTCGCTTGCCGGCAGCACTTGGGCGCAAATAATGTCTGCCCAGCATGTGGTACGGCCCTCATACCACACTGCACTTATTCAATTGCCCCGTCAAATGTACTCATCTTACTCCAGAATATCTGTGGTTACAGCCAGTGGACGTAGCTGCATTTCTAAATATGGAGACAGAACCAGAGGAAATTTAAATAGAAAAAAATTAAATACCAGTACCAAATAAATAGTTCATCCCTATTTATATGGGGTATATTTTGACAAATATATTGAACATTTTCTGTGCTTAGATGTCTTTCACCATCCAAGAAATTTCAATTATATGAAGAATATTGATACGAAGATTTTCTGCCACATTAGAACCCAAAATATCAAATTGAAAAGGTGTAAAAAATCCTTAAAATACCGATAAATGCGGAATATAATTATATGGAGTATCCAAAGATTAACCAATTTAAATAACTTTGGAGAACAGGGAGATGGGATATGGAGATACCCAATAAGGTATAAACAACTAGATTAAACAACGTGTTCAACGCCTTTTTGAAATTCCAAAAATTCCCAGTAATATGGGGGATATAAGTAAAATCTAACATATTCCGACAATGTTAAAGCATTGCTAAATTCAAAATACTGATAGTAGAATAAAGGCCCTTGTGTACAGGAAAGTTAAAATGATATTGCACTTCTTTGGAAATATACCGTGATTAAAGAAGAAGTAGAACGGATATCGTCTTAGAATTTTATCCTGATCAAATAATTTGTATACACTTCAAGGGGGTCTAAAATTGGCTTTGCGCGTACGTTGAAAATTCCATCCAACTCGTTCAGAAATGCGACAAAGCCGCATAAATATTTCTTGAATCCTCATATAATTCCGCATTACATACAAGCAGGTTAATCTCAGTCAACCCTGCGCACTCGTTATGTCATTGCGTATACGCCACATGAAAAAAATATCAATCATACACTCCGCTGTTGTGAAGCCTTTAAAATTGGCTTCACGTTAAAAATTTCATTCAGGGCGCTTAGAAAGGCGACCAAATCCATAAACATTTTATGAGTCCTCCCTTAACTACATATACAGCTTGAATTGTAATCTTTTCATAAGTCAATGCTGCGTATACTTTACGTCATTACGTATACGCATCAAATAACCCATGTCACAGGCAAATAATATAAATCATACGCTCTCATGAAATGAACTCTAATATATGTCCTCATTGTACCGTATCGAAACTTTTGTTAGTCGCATGTTTATCTAGCATATTGTTGCCATGATTTGGGAAAAAAGAAATCAGCTGACTGACAGGTATTCTCACAGGAAATCTCAGACTGAGAGGCACATTATCACATGATTATTTGCGAGCGGAGCAGCAGGTGTAGAGCATGTGGGGAATACAGCGAAATGCTGGAAAATGTCCTTTGCCACTACCCAGCTTTTGCAAGACTTCATACACAATTCTTGGGGAATTACACCCAAGGGGGATAAGAAGTCAAATCTCTTTCATTTTTAGAGCGTACAACAGGCCTTTTACCGGCATATGTTTATATCCTACCCAAAATATTCCAATTGCATTAATTCCTAGGAGACCTATCGCACAGTAAACAGGGAACTAGTTCCTATCTCGTGATTGCATAAACGACAATGTAGCTAGACAGGCTAGTACTTAATTTAATTGAATAGACAGGATGTTTCCTTAATAGCCAGGAAAAAATAGCCCAGCCTCTGTCAGTAGAATTTCTCTTATGATATATGGAGAAAGTAATTAAAGAGTCATTCTCAAGTCAAGGGAAATTATTTCGTAAGGAAATATAAAATTCTATCATAGCAGATTTTGAACATTTTCTTCAAACTGAATTTCAAATCGAATCGAATTCCAATGACATGAACAAAGGTGCCTTCCCCCACAAAGAAAATGACAAATGTTCTAGGGGTTCCGTTTTACAATGAAAGTGAATCAAACCATGCCAAGACCTTCAAAAGAGTCTGCGTAGACTTTGGCTCTACCAATCAGGGCCATGACAAGATAAGGATGCTTCTAAATATTTGTAAAACACCGTTGGTGAAGGCAGACAAATTCACTCCTAACTTATTTTGCAGAGAATGGAATATTCCTTTTTATCAAGGAAATCATATCTGCCTTTATCAGGGGTAATTCTTTTATAGGGAAGTAGTACTATTCCTATGGGGAAGGAGTAATTCTCCCAGGTGTTATGCCAAAGTTAATCAAAGTTTACCAATCTAGTTAGTGGCATTGTTCGCTGATAGAAAAGGATAGTGCTGAACATAGCAGTCTTGAAAATTATTCTTCACAATCGAAAGGGTTGGTAATATACTCAGTAAAATTAGAGTTATCAATTCTTCACGGATATGTCTATTTCCGACTTCCATAGTACCTTTCTGCTAATACATGCTATAGAGTCTGAGGTTCAAAATGTAACACTAAATGGTGACACATCTTCGAACCAAACGTTACGGCATTTAATTTCTAAACTAATAGGGTCAACGCCTATGAGCGGTGACTCTATGCTAAATGATTTAGAAACGTTTTCACGTGAAGCTGCTAAGTTTATTACTGACATTCACCGCTCTAAGTCATTAGTGTAGGAGGGATTTTTGAATGGTACCCATTACATAACACAGGATCCATTTGTGTCTAAATAACGTTACTGTAACTTTTAATGGTTCAAATGAAATTCGTGTCTCAACCGGACGTAAATTTGACGTGAATTTTAGATCTTCATGTACCATTAATCATAATATTGGACCAAATGTGGGAGATTATTTAGTAATAAAAATCTCCGGAACATTTTGTCTGGATAACGTTGCGTTTGGTGACGCAATATTATATTCTAATTCTAGTAAGAGCACATATATTAATCCATGGAATTTCAACCTTGGATCAAGCATTGTATCTTTGCATAATCAAGTCATTGACATACCTACAAGCCGTATAGGCGGGCAGTTGAATCCTATCATCCCTTATAAATCATATGATAAGCGCTAATTATACTAGCGCTTTTCACCCAAAACAATCGTTTACCAACGTGGCTAGTACTGCCAATACTATCTTCCATATGGAAGGGATGGCTGACAGTGACGCACGTAGATACAGTTTTAACGCATTACGTTTAACTGTAATGATTATTAATTTAATGACCTTCTTTAATCCTGAGAGGTATTAGCGAATAGGGTGGTATCGTCCCGACCTTGACAACGTCTTATGACACTACATAGACGCGATTTCTCTATTCTTGATAAAAAAAAACTATAATTTAGGACAGTGGATTTTTTCTTACACAGGAAAACGTCTCAGTCAATATCGGGAGAAATATTCATTAAAATCAATTCCAAAGTGCCGAGAAAATGTCGGCCTTATTTTGAAATATTCATTGGGGAGAGGTTTAACTAGAGAACAATTTTTCGCTTTCGGGAGTGGCAGATCCTCACATTTCCGCTTCTTTTAATATTCCTTATTGCCTTACTACATTCTGTGGCTGTATTTGTATCTATCCATGGCGGGATTTTATTAGTGGCATAAGAAAAAAAAAAAATAACTAATAAAAAGTTGCGAATTTTCTTTTATAAATAACATAAAATCAAGAATTATATATTGTATATATTTTTTGTGTTATTGTTTTTTGTTTCTTTTCATTAAGATTAAGCCTTAAAACTAGAGGAAAATTGTGTGTTTAAATAAGTGTTGTTATTGTATAGTTTGTTGTTGGTTGATTTCTTTTCTCCATAAAGAAAGAAAAAGAAACCCGTCGTCGTAGTAGGGGAGGGAGACAATGTTTTGTTTTTGGGTATTGTTTGTTGGCTTTGTTTTTTATTTTTAAATAATACAAATATTTAAAAAATAAACATCATAATAAAAAATAGAATAAAAAAAAACATTTTTTTAAATTAAAAAACAGAGGATTGTTATTGTTGTTGTTGCGTTAAGTAGTTTGTTTAATGTAGCCTTTGATGTTTTAAAACATTACAAAAAAACATTTATTTTAGTAGAGAAGGGGGAGGGGGCGGGTAGAGGATCAGTTATACTCTTCTAATGATAAAAATATAATTGTTTTTGTTTTTTGTTTTATATAATATATAAATGATTATAATTATAATATAAATGTTACTGATTGGTTGGTTTGTTGTTGTTGTTTTTTACATAACGTCTGCTGTTGTTGTTGCGTCTTAATATTAAATTATTGTTATTATTTATTTGTTGTTTTGCATTAATTTATATTCTTAGTAATTATATATAAAGAATAATTATTTAATTATTATTAATATTATTATTGTAATATTTATATATACGATTTTGTTTTTAAATAGTTGTTGTAAATACACATTCACTTTTTTCACTTATTTTTTTTTTGTTTCACTCGCCCAAAAAAATCTTTTGTTTTGTATATTCCTATTATTTAGGTATATATAATATATAAATAAATGGTGTTTTTTCTCAATTTTTAGATTTTGAATTTTTTGTTGTTGTTGTTGCAATTACTACTTAGTATCCATTTTGTTATATATAAATGTGTATGTGTGTTTTTCAGTTGTTATAATAATAATTATTATTTAAATTATAAATTGTAACAGCTGCTGCAGGGATTGGTTTTCGTTTTAAAAGGTGGTAGTGGTGTTGTTGCTATTCTTGTTGTTACGTTATTGGCAATAACTAAATTTTCACGCCGTATTGTTTTTCAAATGTAAAAGTTTCACTTTTAATTCAGCAAATGTTGGTCGTTTGGCAGGATTTAGGTCCCAGGCTTGTCTCATCATTTCATAGATTTCAGGTGGGCAACCTTCGGGTGCTTCCATTTTATAGCCAACTTCAACATGTTTCACAACATCGGTTAGTGGCTGAAATGAATTGAGTGAAAATAAAAAATACAATTAATAAGAATTAAAGAAGAAATTTTTAAAGGCGCAAATGTAGGTAGGAGGCTTTAGGGAGACTTTATAAGAGAACTGGAAGGAGGTCTTATAGAGGAGGTGAAGGGAGTCTTTAAAGACAAGCCAAGGTCTTGGAGTCTTTATAAACGAGATGAAGGTCAGGTAGTCTTTATAGACGAGCTGAAGGTTTTATAGATATGTCTGGGAGTCTTTATACGAGCAAAAGGTCTGTGAGTCTTTATAGACGAGCTGAAGGTCTGGGAGTCTTTATAGACGAGTTGAAGGATGTGGGGTCTTTATAGGCGAGCTGAAGGTCTGGGAGTCTTTATAGACAAGATGAAGGTCAGGGAGTCTTTATAGACGAGCATAAGGTCTGGGAGTCTTTATAGACGAGTTGAAGGATGTGGGGTCTTTATAGGCGAGCTGAAGGTCTGGGAGTCTTTATAGAGAAGCTGAAGGTCAGGGAATCTTTATATACGAATTGAAGGGCGTTGGGTCTTTTTAGACAAGCTGAATGTCTGGGAGTCTTTATAGAACAGCTGAAGCCCAAGGAGTATTTTTAAAATAGCTGAAGGACCATTATGTCTATATAGATGAGCTGAAGGTCTGGGAATCTTTATAGACGAGATGAAGGTCTGGGAATCTTTATAGACGAGCTGAAGGTCAGAGAGTCTTTATAGACGAACTGAAAGTCTGGGAGTCTTTATAGACGAGCTGAAGGTCTGGGAATCTTTATAGACGAGCTGAAGGCCTGGGACTCTTTATAGACGAGCTTAAGAAATGGCAGTCTTTATAGACGACCTGAAAGTCAGGGAGTCTTTATAGACGAGCTGAAGGTCAGGGAGTCTTTATAGACGAGCTGAAGGTCAGGGAGTCTTTATAGACGAGCTGAAGGTCAGAGATTCTTTATAGACGAGCTGAAGGTCAGGGAGTCTTTATAGACGAGCTGAAGGTCAGGGAGTCTTTATAGACGAGGTTAAGGGCTTGGAGTCTATATAGACGACCTGAAGGGCTTGGAGTGTTAATAGACGAGCTGATGGGCCAGTGAGTCTATAGAGACAAGCTAAAGGCCACTAAAGGGAGTCTTTATAGATTGGCTGAATGTCTGGATCTTCACAGACAAACTGAAACAGTGTGCCTTCGTCAACGAGCTGAAGCAGGGAGTCATTCTAGATTAACTGTTATAAAAAGTACTTTTGGCCCCCGATAAGAACACCTTCTATATGAATACCATTAAGTCTTCCATAAAAAGACCTGCAAATTGTTCATAAAAACAATTTCTTTATGGTCCATCATAAAAAGCCCTTCCATAAGATTACCTTTGTCCTCCATAAGAATAACTTCTCTGGCCTTCTATAAGAAGAAGTTTATTCTATAAAAATACCTGTAACTGTATAACTGAAGGTCAGAGATCTTCAATAATGTAATCATCAGCAGTTCAGTATTTATGTGAATCATTTCCGGCCTTCTATAAGAAGAGTTTCTGGCTCCTATAAGAGGAGCTTCTGCCCTTTTAGCCTTCTAAAAATATTTTCTTCTGGCCCTCTATAATAAGGCCACTTTTTTCGGATAAGAATATATTATTTAAGAGTTTTTCTCGTCCATCTTCAGAATACTTCTGGGCTTCTATAACAACACTTTTAGTACTTTATATAAAAGGTATTCTGTTCTCCTCTATCACAAATTCGTGGCTTTAAACTTCCTGTAATCTATATGCCGATTTTCTAGTCATCTATAAGAAATCGTTGGGGTTTTCTATAAGAAGGTACTACAATCTTCTGTAAATAATTATTTCCGGTAAATCTTTGTCAAGCCTTAATAGTCTGCTTTAAGGGGACATTCTGGACTTCTCTAAATCAATCTTAGGATAATTTAAAAAAATATTTCGTCTTCAAAAAATTTAAGGCAAATTTTGTTCTCCATGATGGGGCATTCCGGCCTCCTATAAAACGGTCTTTTGATCCTCTAAAAGAAGACATTTTGATACATTTTTCGAAGAAGATTATATCTGTTTTTTTTAGGAATATGATATTGTCTTCTCCCTCCTTCTGTTTGTTTTTAAACAAGCATTTCTTACGCTCCTCTATGAAAAGCCCTCATGTCTTCCAAAGCTATATTTGATTTTCTTTTATATTTTAATAAATTATATTTTTAATAATCAATATAAAAAAATACTCACAATTCTAGGATAAGGAACACGACCAAATGAATAAATTTCCCATAATAAAATGCCAAAACTCCACATATCGGATTTATTAGAGAAACGCTGCAAAAGAAGAAAAAAAAATAAATTATATATCGATTACATAAAAACAGTTAATTAAAACTCGGAAACTTACCCAATTTTTCAATGCCTCGGGTGCTGTCCATTTAATTGGCAATTTCCCGACATCCAGATTATAGCATTCTTCGCGGGCCAAACCAAAATCAGATACCTTGGCAACGCAGTCTTCCGAAATGAGAACATTGCGGGCAGCCAAATCACGATGAACAACCTTTTTCGCTTCTAAATATTCCATACCCGAAGCTGTGTCACTAAAATTTAAAATAAATTTGGAATTCATACATGCGACTGACTATAGAAGAATTTGGGTCTGTCAACTTACTAAGCAAAATTGATTTGATCCTTTTTAGTTATATGCTGTCGTCCCCGCGATCTTAAATAATCAACCAGTGATCCTTTGCTCATATATTCAGTAACCAAATACAGATGTTTACTAGTGAATACTAAACCAATGAATTTCACTAGATTTTCATGTTCCAGTGTTCTGAAAAAAAAAACAAAAAATTATATATTTGTAATTATATAAAAACAGAATTTGTGAACTTACGTCATAACCGAAGCCTCTGCCAAGAATTTCTGTACAGCTCCCTCATCTTTAAGCATTTTTACAGCCACCTTCTCATTGCGCAATATACCCAACATTACATCACCAAATTCACCTTTGCCTATGCTTTCGCGTAGCTGCAAATCCGATTCGGGTATAACCCAACCTTTGTCGATGAAATCTTTTGAATTGATACAGTATTCCTGTTTACCCTGTTTAGGTAAACATTTTACCAATTGTGTACACAGGCCATCGGCATCGGCTTCATAGTGCTGTGTGGAGAAGAGAGAGAGAGACAGAGAGGGGGAGATAAATACATTATTGACATTTGTGGCAAATTATGCGGCACAGAATGGAGGAGGCGAGTAGCAAAGCGTCTTCATAGACGAGCTGAAGGTGGAAGAGCTGAAAGCAGACTGTGCTGAAGAGAGTCGTCTTTATAGACGAGAGCTAAAGGGAGTCTTTATAGACGAGAGCTGAAGCGAGTCTTTATAGACCAGAGCTGAAGCGAGTCTTTATAGACGAGAGCTGAAGGGAGTCTTTATAGACGAAAGCTGAAGGGAGTCTTTATAGACGAGAGTTGAAGGGAATCTTTAAGAGCTGAAGGGAGTCTTTATAGACGAGAGCTGAAGGGAGTCTTTATAGACGAGAGCTGAAGGGAGTCTTTATAGACGAGAGCTGAAGGGAGTCTTTATAGACGAGAGCTGAAGGGAGTCTTTATAGATTAGCAATAGGGGGTCTTTATAACTAATGGCGGACTTTATAGGTAAGCTAAAGCGAGTCTTCCTAGACGAGCTGTAAGGAGTCTTCATAGACGAACTGTAGGAAGTCTTTATAGACAAGTTAAAGGAAGACTTTATAAACGAGATGAACGGAGTCTTCATAGGCGAGGGGTCTTTATAGACGTGCTGAAGAAAGCCATTCTGGACGAACTGAAGCATGTTATAGACAAACTGACGGTAGTCTTTATAGACGAACTGAAAGAAGTATTTGAAAGTAGATAATCTTCACATTTACTTACCGCAACAAGCTGACCCAAATTTTCAAAATATTCTTCATCGTCAATGGTTAGCTTATTTTCCAAATATTTGACACGATAATGTTCCACTTTACCCTGGAAGCATACACAGAGTGTATAGTCACCGGGGAAATTTGTAGATTCACGCACTAAGAACAGGCCATCCTCGCGGGGCTGTAGCAAGTGTTCAGCTTCATCACGGGTAATGCTGCCATGGAACCAACTGTAAAAAAATAGAGCAGTTATTTATTTACATTCCAAAATCATCATCCTTTTGACACTTACGGCATTGCATTCAATTTAACCTCACATTTTTTGTGCGGTTGCTGACCATGTGGAACACCACCACCAATTGAATGATGATTGGGTGCCATACCCGATGTGGGTGACAATGATGGTGTGGCCCATGATGATTGTGTATTGGCAACGGGATTACCAACAACAGCTGCACCATTTATATCGAAACTGTGCAATGACGTTGTCATACCCGATCCGCCACCCACCACTGGATTTATGACCAATGACGTTTGATTGGCATGATGTTGCTGCTGATGATGCGGCTGCTGCTGTTGTTGTTGTTGGGCAGGGTGTTGTTGTTGTTGCGTATGAAGTAACATATTGCTACCACCGCCGGCATTTGCCGTCAGACCCATACCTTTGGGTGGTAGACCACGTTCGTGCAGTGACATGGCACTGCTGTGAGCTGCATTCAATGAAGATGACATTAAATTATTGTTACAATTATTGGCCGCTGCTGCTGCCGACAATAATTGCATATGCTGTTGTTGTTGTTGCTGTGTAACACTGGCCACTGCAGCAGCAGTAACTGATGAAGCTGTCGATGCCGAACCAACGATGGGAGCAAATGTTGACATTAAATTGTGGGATTGTTGTTGTTGATGTGGCTGCTGCTGTTGTGTTGGATGTTGATTTGGCGATTTGGGTGAATGATTGGCAGCGGCATTTATAACACCACCACCACCTCCGAGAATAGTGCTGCCTCCACCGCCAGCAACACCACCACCTGTTGCATTTGTTATTAAATTATGACTATTAAGTGCATGCGAGGACAAGTGAATCGCATTGTGATGTTGATTCTGAAAAAAAATGACAAAACAACAAAAACAAATTATTAATTTTGAACACAACAAAACAAGATGTAATTTGGAATATAAACAGTGCATAGAGAGTGGATGAAAGTTAATTCAAATGCTATTGGATATTGGTAGGGGTAGGGTCTGAAGGGAGTATTTTTAAATGAGCTGAAGGGAGTCTTTGTAAACAAGCTGAAGGAAGTCTTTACAGACGAGCTGAAGGAAATCTTTACAGAAGGGAGTCTTTACGGCGAACTGAAGGTAGTCTTTACGGCGAGCTCAAAGAAGTCTTTAAAGGGGTGGTAAAGGTAGCCTTTGTTGTGGAGCTGAAGGAATTCTTTATATGGAAGTTGAAGTAAGTCTCTATAGACGATATGAAGGGAGCCTTTATAGACGAGTTCAAGGGATTTGAGTTCAAAGGAGTCATTATAGACGAACGAAGGGAGTCTCTATAGAAGAAAAGAAAGGTATATTTTTAGACGAGCTGAAAAGAGTCCTTTAAGATTTGCTGAGTAAGTCCAAAGGAGCCTTTATTGTCGAGCTAAAGAGAGTCTTTATAGGGGACCTAGAAGAAGTCTTTATAGACGTGCTTAAAAGGGTCTTTGTAGAGGGGAGCTGAAGGGAGTCTTTATAGGCAAGCTAAAGGAATTGTTTATAGGTCAGTTGAAGGGAGCCTTATGGAAGACTCAAGTTTGTATTTAAAGCGAGTTGAAAGGAGTATTTATAGAGGAGCTAAATAGAGTTTTTTAGACCAGGTGAAGGAGGGAGGAAATGAGCTGGGGATATTTTATAGTCAAGCTGGATGAAGTCTTCATAGAAGAGCTGGAATGAATCTTTATAGATGAACTGAAGAGAGTCTCTTTAAAGACAGCTAACATGAGCCTCTATATACGAGCTTAAAATAGTAGTTTAGACGAGCTGAGGGAGATCCACAGAGGCATGCTGAAAGGAGTGTTTATAGACGAGCTGGAGGAAGTCTCTATGGACGAGCTGAAGGGAATCTTTATAGGCACTTTGAAGGGGGTCTTTGTAGAGTAGCTGAAGGAAGTCTTTATAGGTCAGTTGAAAGGAGCCTTTTTATAGTATTGTCAACCTAAAGGGTGTCTTTTTAAACGTACTGAGGTAGTCTTTATAAAGAAGTTTAGGGGAATCTCTATAGACAAGCTGGAGGTAGTATTTATAGGGGAGTTGAAAGAAGCCTTTATAGACGTGCTGAAGAGGGTCTTCATAGAGGAGCTGAAGGGAGTCTTATAGCCAAGCTAACAAAGTGTTTAATGGCGAGCTTGGGAAGTCTCTATGGACGAGCTGAAGGGAATATCTATGTGCGATCTGAAGTGTGTATCTATAGGTGAACAGAAGTGAGTCTCTACAACGAATTGAATGTAATCTCTATTGTTGATAACAGGTAGTATCTATAGGCGAGTTGGAGGAAGTCTTTAAAGACGTTCTGAAATGAGTCTCTCTAGACGAGCTTTGTAGACGATCTCAGTGAAGCCTCTATTTAGAGAGATGAAGGGATTTCCTATGGACGACTGGAAGGGGATTACTATTGACGACTTGAAGGGGTCTAAATAGACGACATAATAGGAATTCTCTATAGACTACTTGGGGGAGTCTCTATAGGCGATTTGAAGGGAGTCTCTGTAGTCGACTTTAAGGGAATATTTTGAGAGGAGCTGATGAAGGCCTTTATGGACAAGTTGAAGGCAGTATTAATTGCATCTCTATAGAAGCACTCAAGGTGGTCTGTCTAGACGACTTTTTTGACGAGCTAAAAGTAGTCCAAAATTTGTTATTTATGGACGACCCGAACGACTTTTTTTAGAGCAGATAATGCGCTAATTCATAGCTATGCTGAGAAAAACTTTGATAAGACCTAAGTCAGCCTTCATTGGCGGACCAAAAGGGGGTCCAAGGACTTTCCTTTTCCTACAAAAGAAAATTGTATATACGACTATGTATGTTTGTATGTCTATTTACATCAAATGATTTATGATTCATTACCACATTATTATGATGAGTTAACACTGATGCGGATGCAGATGATGATGATGATTGTGCAACAATATGGGGTTGGGATTGGCTAAATTGCTGTTGTAATGCTATATTGCTTGTGATGATGGGACCAACACCACCACCACCGATACCACCAACACTATTAACGCCGCCGATGCCGACAATACCGCCGACACCGATACCCACACCAACACCACCAGCACTTACACTGTTATTGGCTAGCAAAGAATTTGGATTATTGGGACCACCGCCCAAACCACCACCAGCAGCCGCTGTCACTGGCTGTGGCGCTGGACGTTTATTATGACGCAATGGAGCCGTTGGTGGCATTTGATGCCCGGTTGATTGCAAAAACCATGGATCACCGCCCGTGCTCGATGTTGCCACCGTTACCGTTGGCTGTGAGAAACCCCGATGATGACCAACGATTGTTGTTTGTCCGCCGTTTTGTGTTGCAGTTGCGTGACTATTCATAACTGTCGTCTTCGAACTTGAATTGTTCGCAGTTGCTGGGCTGCTCAACTGCGATTGGCTGTTGTTGCTGCTACTGTTGTCGTCTTTGCTACTGCTGCTACTTCTGATGTTATTATTGCTATCGGTTTCTATAAGTGTTTGTTGCTGTTGTGCAAAGGATGTTGGTGATGATGATAATGCTTTTGTGCTGTCTTCAGCTTCTTCTTCTTTGTTAACTTCCTGTATCTCCGAAATTTCTAGAGATGTGCCATTAGATCGGTTTGATTCACTTACACTTAGATTCTTGATATTGTTATTTTTATTATTGGTAAGGTTTCCTGTTTTGTGTTCATGGAGGGATTTTATGTTGTTGTTGCTATTGCTTTTATTTAGCACTGTTTGGTCTGTTGTTGTGGTTGTATCCTTGTCGTAACCATCTATAACATTGTTTGAAGACTTTAGATTCACTTCGAGAGGATTTTCATTTTCCTTGGTGTCTGGTATTGCGTCTTCATCTGAAATGAGAGGGAAAGAGAGAGTTGTGATTAGTTTAATATTAAGGAGGAGAAGGAAATATGCAAATCGTGGTGAGTTTTAAAATATGTGTCCTATGAAATATGAAAAAGTTTAATCCGTAGGTAGTATTTATAGACGAACTGAAGGGAGTTTCTACAGACGAACTGAAGGGATTTTTAATAGATGAGCTGTAGGGTTATTTACAGAGGAGCTGAAGGGGGTATTTACAAAAAAGCATAAGGGACCTTTGATGAGCGGAAGGGACCTTTTTATAGCTTTTATAGGCAAACTGAAAGTAGTCTTTATAGGCGAGCCTTTATGGACTAGCCGAAGGGAGTCTTTGTAGGTGAACTAAAGGGAGTCTCAAGAGGTGAGCTAAAGGGAGTCTCTATTGGCGAGTTGATGTAGTTCAGATTCAAACTTCATACTCCAAAAAAGAAAAAAAAAACTGTTTGACAAAAATCATTTCAAAATTCATTTCACTTTCTATTAGCTGACTGGATTGCCTACTCATCGCTTCAGTTCCATTCTAATTTATTGAATGGAGAACTGACTGGTGATACGATTGTACGTCAGTGTTCCCAACAAAACCAACCACATTGCCGACATCATCAACAACCAACCGCTTTTTTTCGATACGAAATCTGTTACGCCTTTATATTAGCAGCCGTGGCAGATGTATCCAGATATGTTTTTGTTGTTGTTGTTGGTAGCATAATATAGACGCATATTACAATGAAACTTATTCAGAAACATACCACTATGCCACACCATACCATAACTAGCTAACTGACTACCATTCCACGGGAAATCATAAATAATCTAAGCTTAATTCCGGTCGGTCATGTGGAATAACAAAAAAAAAAGAGGCATCGGAAAATAGCAGGATGGAGGGTTGCCATTTACGATAAAAATACATTTGGACTGAGGAATCGAAGGGTAAAGATTAAAAATGCTACATTTATATAGAAGACGACCACCTAAATAAAGACTAACTGATAGGTTGGCTATAGAGGCTTTTTTGCATTAACTTGGTCAATATTAAGCTCTCTGGATACTATAGCTTGTCTATAAAACTTTTGTTTTTTTTTTCTAGTTCGTACATACGGACTTTTGCTTCAGCAGGATGTATAAAGATTCTGAGGTTCTTCGACATGATTATATATACTCACTGGCCTTTTCACTCGTCTATATAGACGTTATGGCCCTTCACTTCGTCTCCATAGACTCTCAGGCCGTAAAGTTTGTTCATATGTCCTCTCAGGACTTTCAGCTCGTCTACATATATTCACTGCCCCTTCAGTTCCTCTATATAAATTCACTGGCCCTTCACCTCGTTTACATATATAGACTCACTGGACCTCAAGCTTGCTTTAGTTCATCTATATAGACTCACTGGCCCTCCAGCTGCTCTCTATAGACTCACTGGTCCTTCAGCTCATATATCGACGCCTCCGAACCATTGTATGCTAAGTCGACTTAGCATGTTTTAAAGTTCTTTACGTTTTTAGATACTACGGTCCTTAATTTTAAATTCTCTGAAATTTTGGTAATCATCTATCCATTATAAGCAAAAATGTACTTAGCATGGCACGTAAGATTTAAGAAACTTCCATACTTTAAGAACTTCTGCTGAAAAACTCACTTTTCAGACATAGCATACTATTCTTCGGAGGCGTCGATATATGGCTCTCTGGCCTTTCACCTCCTCTATATATACTCACTGGCCCTTCACCTCGTCTATATAGACTCACTGGACCTAAAGCTCGCTTTAGTTAATCTATATAGACTCTCTGGTTCTTCAGTTTTTCTATATAGACTCACTGGCCTTTAAGATCTTCTGTATAGATTTACTGGCCCTTCAGCATATAGTGAATCTGAGTCTATATAGATTCACTGGTCCTTCAGCTCGTCTATATAGACTCACTGGCCTTCGGCTTGCCTATATAGACTCAATGGCCTTTAAGGTAGTCTATGTAGAATGACTGGCTTTCAGCTCGTCTTTATAAACTCAGTGACCCTACTGCTCGTCTATATAGACTCAATGGTCTTTTAGCTCATCTATATAGGCTCAGTGGCGATTCAGACCGCCTACTGAGACTGAATGACTTTTACTTTGTCACTATAAAGTCACTGGTCTTTCAGCTCGTATATATAGACTCACTGGCCTTCAGCTCGCCAATATCGACTTACTGGTCCTTCAGCTCTCCTATATAAACTCACTGGCTTTCAGCTCGCCTATATAGACTCACTGGCCCTTCAGCTCCTCTCTATAGACTCACTGGTCCTTCAACTCCTTTCTATAAAAAGGAGTTGGTTCTTGAGCTCGTCTATATAGACTCACAGGCCGGTCAGGTGGTCTATATAGACTCACTGGTCCGTCAGTCTCAGCACGACAATAAATACACCCTTCAGCTCCCTTCAGCACGCCAAAAATGCTCCCTTCATCTCGTCCATAAAGACTTCATTCACCTGGTCTTCCTTTCATTTCGCTTATAGATCATTTATATATTTAGCTCATATATAAAGACTCCCTTCACACACCTTCAACTCCTCGGACCTGGTATATCTACATGACACAAACTTGTATTTTTTCTGTTGTTATTTTTTAATGTTATTTTTTCGTTTTCAGTACAACAAAAGCAAAAACAAAACAAAAAAAAAATGGTATTGTCTGCTAATATTTTCCTCAGATCAATCTGAGGTAGACAGACACGAGCAGCAGGTTGTTGCTGTATTGCAGTTAGTTTGACGATGGCAACGACGACACAGTTACCGATTCGTTATATTTTTGTCGTAACTTTATGGGAATTTGAGTTTTTTTAATTAATTTTCCGCTAAGATTTTTTTCTGTTGTTGGTGATAATGGGAAATATTCTACAAAAGCTTGGAGTTACATTCACAGAGTAGAGGTACAAAATAAGCGGGTTATAAAGATCAAAGACGCAGAAGATATTTTAAATAGCTTGAAGGACCATTTATTTTATTTAAAGTTCGATACGTCTAACCTTTTGTTTCTCTATAAAGACTTAATTAATATCTTCGATAGAGACCCATAACTCAGCTCTTTAAATAGCTGAAGGACCATTTGTTAAATCGTATCATTAAAAATTAATGCGAATTAGCTCGAAGCACCATTTGTTAGGTCAAAAGACATTTCAAAGACTACAATTAGCTACTGTATAAAGTCTTGCTTCGGCTTCTCTATAAAGACTGCTTTCTGCTTCTATATTCAAATCGTTTATAGACACTTCCTTCAGCTTATTTATAATGAAGTTAATTGGGCTCGAAGGACCATTTCTTTCATGGTTTAGAAATTGAATTGCAATGTCCAGGGCTTGGACAATAGGCAACCTATTCCGTAGATCCAAAAAATACCTTATTATAATTATATTTTCAATTGTTTAGGACTTTATTTTTCCCTACAAGGTAGTTGGGAAAATTTTTCCCCCTCCCATTTTGAATTTTTTCAACAAATTAACCTGTCATTAACACAAAAATATGGGCGAGGTAATCGAGAAAAAACGACAGACAGACCCATTAATATTCTTCTTGCCAAACACATTTAACACAGAAAAACGGTAGCAATGTTATTTATTTTTTTAATTTTTTCTGAATTGAAATGAAATGCAAATTAAATTGTTGAACACAACGACGAGAATGACGACGATGAAAATTTGAATAACAAGATCGAAAAAAAAACGAAAATTGACGACCCTATAAGCGATACAAAGCTATTAACAAACCGAAACGACACAATTGTGTTGTGAATGTGCTGCGTTGTGAATCATTCAGTCAGTCATTCACATGCCCATTTTTTTCGTTTGTTTTTTACTTCTCCGATTTTTTTGCAACGCAATACAAAAATTTATCACAAAAAAAAAAAAAAAAAAAAAAAAAAAACTCGAAATTGTGCAAATAAACAAACAAAGTTAAACAATGATTTCAAACAAAAGATCAAATTTTTGTTTGGAAATATAAAAAATATAGGAAGTGAGAAAAAATTTGCAGTCACTGAGAACATTTTTCTCCCTGAACTTCAATTTGTCTATATTGAACTAACAATTCAGATCGCCTGCAAAGACTCGATGGCCCTTCACCTCGTCTATATAGACTCACTGAACCCTCAGCTGGTCTACATAGACTCACTGGTCTTTCGCCTACATAAACTCACTGGCCCTCAGTTCGGCTATATAGACTCAAGGGTCTTTAGCTCGTTTTTAGAGATTCACCTGCCTTTCAGTTCACCTATATAAACACACTGGCTCTTTAGTTCGTCTATATAGACTAACTGGCCTTTCAGATCGCGTTTAGGAATCCACTGGCTCTTCAAGTCGTCTAAATAGATCGACAGGTCTTTTAGCTCGTCTATATAATCTCAATGGTCTTTAGCTCGTTTTCAAAGTCTCACTGGCCCTTCAGCTCGTCTATATAGACTCACTGGCCCTTCAGCTCGTCTATATAGACTCACTGGCCCTTCAGCTCGTCTATATAGACTCACTGGCCCTTCAGCTCGTCTATATAGACTCACTGGCCCTTCTGCTCGTCTATATAGACTCACTGGCCCTTCAGCTCGTCTATATAGACTCACTGGCCCTTCAGCTCGTCTATATAGACTCACTGGCCCTTCAGCTCGTCTATATAGACTCACTGGCCCTTCAGCTCGTCTATATAGACTCACTGGCCCTTCAGCTCGTCTATATAGACTCACTGGCCCTTCAGCTCGTCTATATAGACTCACTGGCCCTTCAGCTCGTCTATAAAGACTCACTGGCCCTTCAGCTCGTCTATATAGACTCACTGGCCCTTCAGCTCGTCTATATAGACTCACTGGCCCTTCAGCTCGTCTATATAGACTCACTGGCCCTTCAGCTCGTCTATATAGACTCACTGGCCCTTCAGCTCGTCTATATAGACTCACTGGCCCTTCAGCTCGTCTATATAGACTCACTGGCCCTTCAGCTCGTCTATATAGACTCACTGGCCCTTCAGCTCGTCTATATAGACTCACTGGCCCTTCAGCTCGTCTATATAGACTCACTGGCCATTCAGCTCGTCTATATAGACTCACTGGCCATTCAGCTCGTCTATATAGACTCACTGGCCCTTCAGCTCGTCTATATAGACTCACTGGCCCTTCAGCTCGTCTATATAGACTCACTGGCCCTTCAGCTCGTCTATATAGACTCACTGGCCCTTCAGCTCGTCTATATAGACTCACTGGCCCTTCAGCTCGTCTATATAGACTCACTGGCCCTTCAGCTCGTCTATATAGACTCACTGGCCCTTCAGCTCGTCTATATAGACTCACTGGCCCTTCAGCTCGTCTATATAGACTCACTGGCCATTCAGCTCGTCTATATAGACTCACTGGCCATTCAGCTCGTCTATATAGACTCACTGGCCATTCAGCTCGTCTATATAGACTCACTGGCCATTCAGCTCGTCTATATAGACTCACTGGCCCTTCAGCTCGTCTATATAGACTCACTGGCCATTCAGCTCGTCTATATAGACTCACTGGCCATTCAGCTCGTCTATATAGACTCACTGGCCATTCAGCTCGTCTATATAGACTCACTGGCCATTCAGCTCGTCTATATAGACTCACTGGCCATTCAGCTCGTCTATATAGACTCACTGGCCCTTCAGCTCGTCTATATAGACTCACTGGCCATTCAGCTCGTCTATATAGACTCACTGGCCCTTCAGCTCGTCTATATAGACTCACTGGCCATTCAGCTCGTCTATATAGACTCACTGGCCCTTCAGCTCGTCTATATAGACTCAATGGCCAGCTGGTCTAAGAATCAATTTTTTTTTCTAAGTTAATATCAACCTCCATGTATATAGACTCACTGGCCATTCAGCTCGTCTATATAGACTCACTGGCCCTTCAGCTCGTCTATATAGACTCACTGGCCCTTCAGCTCGTCTATATAGACTCACTGGCCCTTCAGCTCGTCTATATAGACTCAATGGCCATTCAGCTGGTCTATATAGACTCACTGGCCCTTCAGCTCGTCTAAATAGACTCACTGGCCATTCAGCTCGTCTATATAGACTCACTGGCCCTTCAGCTCGTCTATATAGACTCACTGGCCCTTCAGCTCGTCTATATAGACTCACTGGCCCTTCAGCTCGTCTATAAAGACTCACTGGCCCTTCAGCTCGACTATATAGACTCACTGGCCCTTCAGCTCGTCTATATAGACTCACTGGCCCTTCAGCTCGTCTATATAGACTCACTGGCCCTTCAGCTCGTCTATATAGACTCACTGGCCCTTCAGCTCGTCTATATAGACTCACTGGCCCTTCAGCTCGTCTATATAGACTCACTGATATAGACTCACTGACCCTTCAGCTCGTCTATATAGACTCACTGACCCTTCAGCTCGTCTATATAGACTCACTGACCCTTCAGCTCGTCTATATAGATTCACTGACCCTTCAGCTTGTCTATATAGACTCACTGACCCTTCAGCTTGTCTATATAGACTCACTGGCCCTTGAGCTCGTCTATATAGACTCAATGACTCACTGGCCCTTCAGCTCGTCTTTATAGATTCACTGACCCGTCAGCTTGTCTATATAGACTAACTGACTTTTCAGCTTGTCTATATAGACTCACTGACCCATCAGCTCGTCTATATAGACTTATTAACCCATCAGCTCGTCTATATAGACTCACTGACCCATCAGCTCGTCTATATAGACTCACTGACCCATCAGCTCGTCTATATAGACTTATTAACCCATCAGCTCGTCTATATAGACTCACTGACCCTTCAGCTCGTCTATATAGACTCATTGGCGCTTCAACCCTCTATATAGACTCACTGAAATTCTGATCGCATAGATTGCGAATATACCCATAAAATCTACCACTTCGAATAGTACTTGAAAAATATTTTTTAAAAATCCTCCCTTACATCAAAAAAAAAAAAAAAAAAAATAATAAATAAAAAATATATTTTGGCTTATTGACCTCTGACCTGAGGTAATCCTTAAAATTTTCCTTCTATACAGAAGTGCTCCTTTTCTATATTGAAATATCTCTGATAGATCTCAAAAAGGTATTGGAAGAATTTGTTCCTTCCCACTGTAAACAATTACACTTGTCGGAGACATGATAACCAGCGGCTGTTGAGTAATACATCGATGAAGTCATACCGTATTTGGTTAGTAGCTCTCCTCTAAGTGCTGCTTGACGAACAAAAATTTACAAAAGAAAAAAGTAAACTTTAAATTAAACATCTTCAAGTGAATACGGAACGATACTTAAGTGATGGATGCAATTAATGCATATTCATAAAGTCATATATATATATATACACATATGTAAATATGTATGTGCGCATGTGTGTGTTGAGTACCCCAATAATGATGATCATGCACACAAGAAAGACGACCCTTTGTTCAAAGTGCAAAAAAAAAATAATAAAATTTGCAACTTATTTTTATTTTTATGCAAAAAAATATGTGTGGGTGTATTTTAATCGCGAGAGATGAATCATTTGTCATATTGATACTCACACACACATATGTGTGTGAGTTTGTGTGGGTGGAGTGCAATTATGAAATGATACCCCAAATTGATAGGCTAAGAATTTTCGATTATAAATAGGATGGATGGTTTGTTTGGAAAAGAGAAAAATTGGCAGGGTATATAAATAGTGATCTTCCAGATCAGATTTTTCAAAGAATCTGATATTATTTAAAGGCCTTTAAGCTCCACTTTATATAAAGATTTTTTTTTTGAGTTCTCATCGTCTTCCTACAAAGAATTATTAGCATTGGTCACTGTAGACCCCATATATCGCCACACTTCATAATTGTTATTTTGAGGACATAGTTACCCCTCCATTGAAAAGTTCCGATTGGTTTTATTTATTTTTAATTTCCACTCACCATAATTTTCACTATGCAAATATGAAAACGAACTTCCTCTGTTGACCTGAAAGCCTCTAATTATTTTTGCAGGCCCCTTTAAATGGAAACTTCCTTCTCAGTATTTCAGGTGGCATAACTAATTTGGGTTCATATATTTACATTTCGATATATTTCTTCATAACTGGATGTTATTTTTTACAACGACATAAGCAAATATGATCATGATAATCATCGCCATAATTTTTTAACTATGTGCGGAATATGCTTCGCTAGCTACTAATTGCAAAATATTTGTTAATGAAATATTTTTTTAAAAAAGAAAACAAAATCAGGTGGGAGCTGAAAGAAACGAAACAGCGAAGCGCAGACCTATAAAAATTTGTTAACTTCCCTAGTTTTTTTCATTCCTTCGCCCGCTCTCCCGCCGTCCGTCCATTCGTTTTGAGCATAAATTAACTCACAATAATTATTCACATTGTCTCAACAAAATTCAGTCAGTAATTCATCCATCCATCCACCCATCCAACCATTCATTGTTTGATGAATACGAATAAGAAATTAAGATCGCTGCCAGCCACACCACGCTACATACTTACACATATTGTATACATAGATGTATGTGAACTAATTTTTTGCATTTATTATTTAATTAAAATTTACTCTTCCTTATTTTTTTGTTTATGTGCCGTTGATTAATTATTTTAACTATCTTAGATGGAATGAAGAAATAGCATTTCTAAATTGTTTTCTTCGTCTTCGGCGTCAGAGCTTTTCTTTGTTCTATGGTAATTGCCAATTTCCATTTCACTTCAAGAATCTTGAGAATACGATTATGAGGCCAAGAGATCAAAGATAAACTTTTGCAGAAATAGTCCAAGCCTATGGATGGAGTGCTACTGCACTACTCACAATAGATGTGAATACCGCCAAACCCTTTAGCGAAACACGCCAAGAAATGGGGAAATGGGCGCGAATGAGACCCACAAAACTCTTTAGGAAAACCAGTAAGAAAAGTAGTAAAGTCGGACTGGGCAAACTATATAATACCCTTCACCATTTTGGGTATATTCTACATATGCTTCCGCCTTTTCGAAAGAACATTGGCATCAAATTGAACGAACTTTAATATGAGATCTTTATGAGATTTATATGAGAGTTATATCTAAATCTGGAACGATTTTCACGAAGTTTATCACACATCTTTCTACGCTATGCCAAATTCTGAAATATATACTATATGGACTTTGGTGCCCCATTTACCTAAAATCGGACGAAAATATATATGGGATCTATATCTAAATCTGGACAGATTTTCACGAAACTTTGAACACATCATTCTAGACCAAATTCAGTACGCTATGCCAAATTTCGTGCAAATCGAAGAATATATGGGGTCTTTGGTGAACCATTTACATAAAATCGGACGAAAATATATATGGAAGCTATATCTAAATCTGAACCGATTTTAACGAAACTTTGCATTCTAGACTCAATTCAGTACGCTATGCCAAAATTCATGCAAATCGAAAGGTATATAGGGACTTCGGTACACCATTAACCTTAAATCGGACGAAGATATATATGGGAGCTATATCTAAATCTGAACCGATTTTCTCGAAATGCTCAGACGCCATTCTAGACTCAAAGAAAGATATATAGGGACTTTGGTGCACCATTTACATTAAATCGGTAAAAATATATATGGGAGCTCAGCAACGTACACAGGATTTCATTTCGGGGGGGCCCGGTAGTACAAAATGAAAAATTCGCGGTTGTAAACATAAATTTACAGTGGAAAAAATTCATTCCGGGGGGGCCGGCCCCCCGGCCTCCCCCCTGCGTACGTACCCGTGGGAGCTATATCTAAATCTGAACCGATTTTCAGGAAACTTAACACACATCATTCTAGACCTAAATGATTAGGCTGTACCAAATTTCGTGCAAATCAAAAAAAATATAGGGACCGTTTATATTAAATCGGACAAATATATATATGGGAGCTATATCTAAATCTGAACCGATTTTTCCCAATTTCTACGCTAAATTTCATCCAATTCGGATCATAAATGCGACCTGTACTTTGTTTACAATTTAACATGGACAGACCGACGGACGGACCTGCATAAATCGACTTAGAAAGTGATTCTATGCATATTCTCATATGTGTCTATCTCGTTTCCTGTGTGTCCGTCTAGTCAAGATGTGTGTCCGTCCGTCCGTCTGTCCATTATAATTTGTAAACACGATACAGGCCACAGTTATGGACCAAACTTCACGAAATTTTGCATGAAGGATTGGTTCTGGACAATGAAGACCCCTATTGTTTTTTGTAAAGATCGATTAATATTTAGGGGATGAAATGGATCAAAAAACTTTATTTTTGTCTGGTCGCTCTAGAGGCCCAAACATCGTGAATTTTCATGCCTGTTTTGATAAAGATCGGTCAATATTTATTTATAATAATTAAAAAATGTGTATTCTTTAGCGCATATGTTTACCCCTGAAGGACATAGACCCGATAAGTTGATAGTGTATTCAAGAAGAGTGGTTGACCTTTAAATTGATACCAATTATATTGTCGTATGTACTCGGATGTGGGAGTTACACTTAAATCTTTACAGGTGCTTACGTATTGGTATTAGTAACCCATTACTACACTAGAGGGCGCTGTTCGCTTTGAAATTTTCCGTGAGTCTCCAGGTATGATCAAGGACAACGTTTATAATTTTCGGTGATGATCAGATAATAATTTTGGGATGAAGTGGACAGAATATTTTTTTTCGAGTCGATCTATAGGCCACAATTGAAAGCCGTACAGTGATGTTCGGCTTTCAATTGTGGCCTACACGGTGAAGGGAATCTGGAAAAGTAATTAGAAGAACTGTACTGAATATTAGTAATATTTGTTGACCTCTAGTCGGCCAAGAGGGTGCAAATATTGCTAAATATTGCCCATGCTCAGAATATAGAAACAAAGAAAGTTAGATTTTCGTGGAAGTTGTGTAGGTTATCATATGGTCGGTCTCGTCCGACTATACTGCTCCGCTCACTGGTTTAAAAATATTTTTTCAAAGAATATCCAAATTTTAGTTGTAAAAAATTTATATATATAAAAGCGAAATTTTAGTTGTTCGGTTATATGGCGAAGTTAGTTAAGTTAAATCTGCTGAAATACACATTCCTTTTGGAATATTACAACAACAACAACAGAAAACATTTTTAAATGATTATCACATTGCATTACTTCGAGAAAAATAATAAAATAAACAACATTTTATTTTCATACATATGTGTGAATTAATTTCGATATTCAGCACTTGCCAGCCAGTCAGCCATGCCGGCCAACCTAACCCTCCACCACTCAATAGATAATCATCATCAACATCATCGTTTGTCGATTTATTCGGTGATTAGCACATAAATAAAATAAACAAACAATTACCTCGGCGGAATATTGACTGTGGAAATAACACGCGACTAACTCGGACTGACTGACTGGTTAACGCACCGACTAAAAATCAGATAAACTGGTGAGGAACTGCACACATTGTTACGATCGATCGATAACAGGCAGGGATTTCCAAATTCAAATTTTTGGTGCTTATGTTTACGGAACGCATAGCATTTCAACCTCTGATCGATGGATCGATTGATGTTTGCTTTGCAATACACAAATACCTGGAGTTGAATAATAACTTAAAAAGGCAACAAAAACAATAATAAAAAACAACAACAACTGAAATGTTACACAAGTGTTGAGTTTTTGTTTTTATTGTTGATTTTGTTATTATTGTTATTGTTGCATTACCGAGTGAGCCGCCATCAATTAGCCAGGGCTACTCCAATTGTTGTTATGCTCAAATGATGTACGTATAGAGGGGTACCACCTGTACCTAGGTGCGCTGCCCATTCGAAATAATAAAAACAAAGTGTATTGCAACAATGTTGTATTTTTTAAAACAAAAATAAAAAAACTGAATATTTTATGTTAAAAATATCGGAATACTATTTCTCTATTGAATTTCAAACATGAGCGTTCGCTATTCGGAAATGGCTGGAATTTACAATGAAAATCTCAAAAACAAATTAGGCAATAAAACGCAACAACGAACGAGGTTGGTTGGTCGGTATTCATGTTGTAATACAACAAAAAACATATTCTGAAAAAAACATATATTTTTTTCAGAGATTATGCATATGTGCGAATTTTTTAAATATTTGTTCGAAAGACTGTTTATTTAGCACTGTTATGGGAGCACAGAGCCTATACAAAACATATCTGTAGTAACCTGCAATAAATGATGGGGCTG